AGCCCGGAGCCGGCCGGAGCCAGGCCGCCTCCTTGCGGGCACCCGGAGAAGCCACCGCGCTCCCTTCCCCAACTCCCCTGGCGCTTGGGGTAGCGAGCGAACGATTCCCCCGGGCGGGTGGCTGCGGGCCCCGGGCCCCTCCGCTTGGGTCCCCCTGGCTCTACCGCCTCATCTGAACGCCTTCTGCCCGCGGGGGCTGGGTGGGACCAGGCCGCCCCGCAGCCGGGCTGTGTTCCTACCCCAGGCCTCTCGGGGAAGTTTGGAGCCAGAGGAGAGGGCCGGTCACCAGCGCTGCTGCTTGTAGTTAAAAGTGAGTTTGTAGCGAGGCAGCCCTCGGACCCAGCGGAGACAACCCGATAGTCCCAGGGCAGCGGGAGTTAGGGCCACGCTGTTCCGTAGGCACCAAGCAGAGAGAAGACAATAGGCCCCTGGACGCCCGTGGGAGCTGTACTCACAGTGCAGCTGCAATGGGCCCCGACTGCTCTGCCCTAGCCACTTAGGCTGGTAGAACAACATTGCTCAGGCGTGTGAAAAACCCACACCCCGCGCAACAATGATACTGACCTTCGGCCTGGTGTAGACACTGCTATGCCAACAGTAGGGCTCCTCCCAGCAACACAGCTACTGCCTCTCCAGACGTGGGTTCATTACACCAGCCAGAGCAGTAGCCTCTTCCTGGAAGTGCTACAGCAACCTCAGTGCAGCTTCAGTATTTACATGTAGACCAGCCCTAAGTCTAGACAGGAATAGGGGCCCCAGAACCCCACTCACCTTTCAGAAGGTTTCTGAGCTTTGATTGCACAATGTTAGGTTGAGCCCTGAAACCAAACAACATTCATTTCAGGTGGACTTTGGGGGAATTCATTTAAACCTGGAAAAATAAGAGATTGTGCACCAAGATCTTGTTCCTGCTTCGGGAGTACTCTCATTGTGCCTCCACCCCAGTACTCTTTGAATTCACTGCTGCGGTCCATAAAGTTAATGGTTTGTATACATGCTTGCTGACTTAGGCACTAAATCTGAAAGAGAAAGTCACATCATGGAAGAACCGCTTCCCACTTTAGATCATCCTCAGTAGAGCTGAAAGTTGTACATGTGAACCAAGGGATGTTTTCAGTAGCCCTTTTACAACCCCATCAGACATTTTCCCCTCATTAAATGTAATATTAATTCAACCAAAAGTTGATAAGTGAAGTGATAGTGACAAAAAGTTACTAACTAATGGTTCTTCAGCAGTCTGAATAAGATGAGTTTTGAGGCCTAAGCCAGGTTACCAATATATAAGTTCCCCCACCTTAGCTCTGTAGTGCCTGAACATTCCAAGAGGCGATGGATTGAGTGTATATTGTCAATGAAATACCATCTCACACTGAAAGGCAATTCCTCTCTTGTTCAGAGAGGAGACAAAGTAAGGGTCACTGCCATTCAGTAAACTAAATTGCTGGACAGCGGTACTGTCTCAAGTGGTGTCCTCCTGTTTATATTCCATGGGGGTGGCCACTAGGCAAAACTGAAGTTGGCCAAAGATTTGCATAAACAAACACTTTCTTCTAGCAAACCCGCTCTTTCTCCTAGAGAGGGAATCCAAGTTGGCTAGCTCAGATTCTTCTGCTACATGCCAAAGGTTAGAACAAATCTGGGAAAAGGATAGAATGTTTTAGTAAGAAAATAAATACACAGGAATTCTACTGGCAGTTAATTCTTATGAATGACACAAGCTTGAAAAATTGTGGTTATAATGATTTTGCAACTTTTATATGGCTGTGGTACATAATGTACCTTCAAGGGAAATAAAAACAGAATATGTTTTTGTTTTTAAGGGGGAATGAACGCTCCTGCTTCACACATGTTCTTCATTGATTGTAAAGCCAGGTCTACACTAGACATGGAAGTTCAGTTTAAGGGAGTGGTTCCCAACCTTTTTGATACCAGCAAACCCATTCACAATCTTTTGATGGACTGTCAACATTTTATTTGCAGATTTGTACAATCATTATGCAAATAATGAATATGCAAATAAAATGTTGCCTGTCAACCAAAAGCCCTGGCCCCCAGAGCTCCCCAGTGCTAACCCCTAGAGCCCTCCATCACTACCCCAACGCCAGCCACTGACCCCAAAGTCTCCTGCACCCAACCCCCCAGTACCAGTCTCTGACCCTCAGAGCTCCCAGTGCCAGCCCTATACCCTTTAGAGCCTGCTACCACCAGACCCTCAGGGTACGTCTAGTCTACATGGCTCCGTCGACGGAGCCATGTAAAATAGTTTACTCGGCATAGTCAATGAAGCGGGGATTTAAATAATCCCTGCTTCATTAATATAAAAATGGCCGCCGTGCTGTGCCGTCGATCATCTGATCCGGCACAGCGCAGCAGTCTAGACATGGCGTGGTTGACAAGGGAAACCTTTGTCGACCCCTCCGGTATGCCTCGTGAAATGAGGTTTAGCACCTTCAGTTAACTGGCAACCCCTTATATCTCCATGATACTAAAGCTTTCACTGTATCAAGAGCTTTCCTGACCAAGCAGAGTATGTTTCCTCTCAGTCGGCACTGAGAACAACAACAAGGCTGCTGCATTCTGCACCCATGACAAGCTTTGAAATTTGAAGGGCATCTCCATCTCACTTATAGACACGTGAAACGAGGTTTACCGGAGTGGTCGACAAAGGCTTCCCTTGTCGACCGCGCCACGTCTGGACTGCCGTGCTGTGCCAGATCGGTTGATCGTTGGTACAGCGCGGCGGCCATTTTTATTTTAATGAAGCGGGGATTATTTAAATCCCCGCTTTATTGACTATGCCGAGTAAACTATTTTACATGGCTCCGTCGACGGAGCCATGCAGTCTAGACGTACCCTCAGTGCCAGCCTCCTATTTTCAGAGCCCCACTGCATCCAACTCCTCCAGCATCCCCCCATGCCTGCCCCTAGTCCGCAATATTAGCCCCATTCCCAGAGCCCCCCAGTGCCAACCCTGCCTCCATAGTCCCCCCACTACTAGCCTAGCTTCCAGAATCCCCCAGTGCTAGCTCCCCACCCCAGATGCTCCAGTGCCTCCCAGTGTCAGCCCCCTGCCTTAGAGACCCCCACCCCTTAGAACTCCCCAGCACTAGCCCCGCTCCCAAACCCTCCCAGTACACCCTCAGAGCCTCCCTGGCTTAAGGTACACAATTTTGTGTAGCTGGAATTGGTTTACCTTAAACTAAGCTTGGTGCTGTCCTCACTGCAAGAGGCCAACAGGAGCAAATGCTGCCATCAGCTTCCCTTACTCCTCTAGTGCGTGAGGGGTACAGGTGTTGGCCAGAACTGCTCTCAGCATTTGATCTATGGGTCTATACTAGACTCTCTAAATCTAATGCCAGAATGTTGATCTCCAACATGGCAGGGAAAGACGTGCCCTAAAAGACTCCTCTCCTTTGTGCCACAATACCATGATTCAAGTGCTCCTATAATGCAGACTTAAACACAAGAACATTGAAAGTTGCACCTGTGGTGAATCTCTCTCTCTTATTTTAGAATTGACAATTGTGCCCTTATTCTCTAGGGTCTACACCATTTGTTCAGCTCATGGGATCAGAACATCCCCATGGATGGATGCTCTCTTATGGCTGGACTGGCTTTTTTGCAATCCAGTTTGAGTAATATTCTCAAGGCAGGGAAATAAGCTCTAGCCCTTTTCCAGATGCAGTTTACTACCACTCAGGCTATGTCTAGACTACACTGATCTATTGGAAAACTGCAATTTGCGTACCCTTTTCTGATATTTTTTTCAGAAGAGGCTACACTGGGCCAAATTTTGGAAAAGCCTCCTCTTTCAGAAGAGTCCTTCTTCCTTGTGGAAGGAGGAAGACAGGGCTTCCAAAAGAGCACGCCTGCTCTTCCTCAGAAAAAAGCAGAAGAGCAAATGGGTTCCCTGGACGCGGTGGAGTTTTTCCGGGATACCTCAGGTATCCCAGAAAAACCCCATAGTGTAGACGTAGCCTCAGTGAGCTTAGCTATGCTGGGTCAGTTCAGAAGTTGCAGGGTGTTCCCTGTGCAAAGAATGATTCTGAAGCAGGTTAAGCTAGACAAGTGGAGCTTTATTAATCCCTTTGGCCTGTTTTCTCCATGCAACAGAGTGGCTTCCAGCTTAACTTTCTGGACTTTACAGTATTTCTGGAGAAGGGCTGGGACAAGTACCCTATGCCCTGGGCCCTACCACTACTCCACTCTCTCCTGGCTCTACCCCACCCAACCTCTTCCCCTGACCCCTAAGCAGTGGTGGGGCAAGCAAGGCAATGTGACCCCAGCTCACTTAGCTCTCCTGGCCACATTGCTCTGCTTCCTGTGGGTGAGTACAGGGCAGTCCCGCCCCTCTCCCAAGTGATGCGGCCGGAGATGCACAGCGAGCTGGGGCCATTGCTTCGTTTGCCCTGCCATTGCTGGTGCATGCAAGGGGTGAATCCTAGACCCCTTTTCCCCTCTAGTTTCTCTGCCAACTGGTGATCGGCTCCTTGCCCCTCCCACCATGGCGTTTGGAGAATATGACCCCCTCACCTATGGTCTCCTTAGATGTATGGAAATTT